ATAGATAAGCAAATAGTGGCAATGTTTATGCAGGTACAGTGGTGCAGTTTGGATGTAACGGAACTACACACTGTGCTGAGAAACAACTGCTCTAGATCAGTGACCCCCAACCTTTTGGGCAACAGGGACCAGTTACGTGGAGAGAGGTTTTTCCATGGACCGGAGGGGGCGTGGTTTTGTGTGCTGCCTGCATCCCGCCGATGGGGCTTTCCTTGTTTATGCAGCCCGGTTGCTGGCATGCCGAGGACTGGTACCAATCCATGGACCGGGAGTTGGAGACCCCTGCTCTAGATAATGAGACCAAGCCAATGCAGGTAATCATTGGCCACAACTGAACCTGGAATTTTGGTTATAAGTCATTGCAATTATAAGGCAAGTTACCATGTGACAGGACTCAATTTTACAACCAGTTTTACAATGCTCATTAAGCAAGTCACCACATCATTAAGTAAATCACATGGTCTAAGTCCAAATCCAGCTCATCCAATGGCCATTTATTGTCAGAAAATGGCAAAAAACATAGCTAAACATGATCATGAGGCTTTGGGATACTGCAATAGCTTGTAAATGCGAACCAGTTGCCAAATGCCCCCAAAAGATGATCATATGATCACGAGTGGTATGGCAGTTGTAACTTCTTCGACAGGTCATAAGTAACTTTTCGAGTCCTTCATAACTTCGAACATGTCTGATAGGTTGCTAAGGAAATGCTACTCTTAAACCTATATCCAAAGATAGACTTTGGGAGGATTTTTCATTTACTTAGAAATGGTTAAATGACACATGACAAAAATGAATGTGAATTATCCAAAGCGATTGCATCTCTTGAAATGTCTTCCCAAATGTGGGAAATTAATTATCTAAGCTTGCTTGTATGACCTTTCAAGGTCTTTCACTCGGAATGTTACTTCATATGTCCTTGTGTGTCTCTGCAGACTTTATCTTTGCACATAAACTTGGAGACTCTTAAGCTGTCTCCTGAGAATAAAGGAACCAACCCATATCTCGCCACCAAAGTGATGAAGGGCACTGGGGTATTTTCTTAGGATAATTCTGCCAACAGTGGCCATATAAATAGGCTAAATAAATAAAACACTTCCCATCTCAATTCCACTGCCATTATATACAGAAAGGGTTACAGATGGATCAAAGTAAGCTATTCCCTTTTGGGCTGTCCATGCTAATTATGCACGGGGGGGGGGAGGTTGTTTCCAATGGCTCTGGAAAACTCTGAGACCTTTTGATAGGGATAGATGGGTTCATCATGTAAACTGTTGTTTATTGTTCATCTCTCTGTCCCTCCTGGTTTTTGTTTACCTTTTGCTCCATTTTGCCAATTAACTGATTTTGATCCCTGCTGATCTTAATTAATAACATCAAACCATATTTTTGCTAGCTGCACTGAGTAGTGCATGTGTTCATTGCAATCTGGATATAGGAATTTATAGTGAGTGTGCGGAGTGCAAACCAAGCTGAAAATTACCCAGAGGAATTTTCCAACAGTTACTTTAATAGCCAACAAAATGCATAACCTTGCATTTATGGTGCATATTCCTATCACACTACAAACAACTCTAGGGTCAAGATAGAAATAGCTGCAGCCTTTTCCAGCTTCATGGACATATTTGTACTGTAGTAATCCAATCACTAATAGATGACAGCAAAGAATTAATAGTTTCCTGTATTTCTTTGATTTATTAAGTCAGTTCTGTACTCACTGTCTCAAAATTGGCATGGTTGTCTGGTGCCCACAATTTAACAGTCCTATACAGAGGTGAACTATGCATCATGTGTCTAAATACAAAACACTAATCTTTAATGTGGACTTACAGCCGGTTCATTTCTAAGCATTTTGTAATTTGTGAACCCAGTAATTCTTCTCAAACATTCCTGTTTTTCCTTAGTAGAATGGGGCCAGGGGACACAGTAGGTTATAAGCCACAGTAAATTTCCCTTGAAAGCCAGTTGCTTCTCTCATATGGCTTGGATGTGGATGTGTGTGCATGCCCCTTTAAGTCAGTAGTGACTCTTGGCTACAGCCTGGACTAGTCCTAGCAGTTTTCCTGGCAAGAAATGGTTTGCCATTGCCTATTTCCTAGGGTTGAGAGGGAGTGATTGGCCCAATGTCATCCAGCTGGCTTTGTACTAAGGTGAGACTAGAATTCAGTTTCCCAGTGTCTAGCTTGATGCCATAACTGCTACACCAAACTGGCTGTCTCATCCAGCTTTAGACACACCTAATTCCTCAAAGATCTCAACCTTTCCTTCCTGATGATACCATGAGATGCCTTCATCCAATTTATTGGGGTCCTTGGGTAATCGATACAACATGTGACATGTACAGAAAGCAAGTTTCATGTATAGCCCATTCAGGATGATCTAGATACTTTTTATTTTTAAAACTTATATTAAAAAAACAATCACAAACTGGTACTTTTACAAAGTATGTTGATGTGGAAATGATGGAAATGCTATGAAAGATCTGTCATGGAATGTCACCAAGTTCCTTCCCTGAATGTCTTCCAGTACATGATAAAGAATTAACTGGCTGCTCTAAAAAACATTAATTGATTAAATGCTGTCAAACCAGTGTCAACTCTTAATAACCACATGGATAGAATTTCTTGGATGATCTGGAGATTTTGGAGATCATCATCAGTGGCTTTCTCTAATTCTACTAAGGTAATTTTGCTTGGAAAGTTGGAGGTTGGTTTTTTTTTGCTTTTACTTTATTGTTGACAAAGTTCATACTTCTCTTTCATTCATTGCATTTTATAAACTTGGTCTGATATTTCTTAATCTATCACTGAGTTTTCTTTGCATGATAAAGTGGGAATTAGGTTTCTGAAAACAACCTATTTAATTCAGTGTACTCCAAATAACTCCCAATGGAGGATACAAAACCCTTGAATTTTGTAAACTAGAGTGGATTTTTGCTAAAATGGTTCCTTGATGTTTTACTTATAAATTCTCAGTTTATTTCAGAGAGGTTGAGGAGGTGTCTCAGTTATAAATTGAAGAAAAATGAAGATTAGAACCAAAAAAGCACCAAAATCTCTTCTTCTCTCTCTCTACTATACTTTTATTCACCTAACTTCTTTGCTCTTCATTATTTACCATTCAGAGAAATACTTCAGACCTCATGCAAGGATACCAATCTCTACTATTTGAAAGGGCATGTATGTCTCTTAAGGCTGTCATGCAAGTCTGAAAAAAATATATCTGCTTAAAGAATTGTATCAATCATTCCATTAACTAAAGGATGAGTTTCCTTCTTTAAGAATAGAAGAAGACTGAAAAAAGGGGGCTGCTTTAATGGATTGCAGAGATGTGGTGCTTTTATAAGATCTAAAAGACTTTCAAATTATTTCAAAATGTGTACAACCTTAGTGGGGAAAACAGTCCTTTGAACAAATCACTTGTCTTCTTCCATCACTGTCCACCTTCCATTCTTACATGAAACTAGGGCAAGAATTATTTTAAGGCTTTTGTAGTCCTGAGTTTCTCCAACAGTGGTAGATAGGAAGAGACTCACTGACCCAATTTGGGAAGGATCTCATGAGAGACAGAGAATAAAGGAGGACAGAGCAGCCAGCTCTCCAGTTACTGTCCTGAAGCAAAGGGAATTGAACAACTTACTGAATGTTCCTTAGGGTTTGGAATTAGAGCAGCCTCTGAAAGATTTAGGCTTAGTGTTCCCTTTTTCTCTTTCTCTCTCTTCGTCTCCCTCTCCCCCTCTCCCTCTCTCATTCTGTCTTATTTAGATTGGGTTTAGGGGAAGGTAGCCTCACACTGCAGTATATCCACTGCTTCAGCCCCATTAGCTCTTATTATTTCATTTAGAAGTATTTGTGCTCAGTGGAAAACAGTTTTAGTGGCAAGGACTAAACTCTTAGCCATTATTTTAAAATTATATTAATAAAATCATTGTGGGCAGTAGTATCTTTTATGTCTTTAAAATATACCATAACAAATGTCTCTGAATAGTTTGTAAATTTCTCTGAATAAATGTTTGCTTCTCTCTTGATGGAGCTAAGATTCTTTGATAAAGTGATCAGTAGGATTTCAGAAACACTGAAGCCATCTACTCCAGTAGAAATGGGTAGCTTGTATATGGAAAAAATATGCATTTTGGGTTCTGTTTTGGATGGGGGTGTCACCAATTTCTGTTCCTTTCCTCAGCTCTTTTTTGGAAACCTTTAACAACTTGATTTAGAGCAGGGGTCTTCAAACTTGGCCCTTTTATGACTTGTGGACTTCAACTCCCAGAATTCCTCAGCCAGACATGCTGGCTGAGGAATTCTGGGAGTTGAAGTCGACAAGTCATAAAAGGGCCAAGTTTGAAGACTCCTGAATTAGAGGCATTTATTTAATAAGTTGAGTTTCTCTTAGCCTGAGCCAGATTTCTCCAACCTATTGACCTCCAAATGTGGAACCCCATTTCCTATAATTTCAGCTAAAAATTAAGAAAGGCCAAACTTATCTGAAAGGCAGTGGGTTAAAAAACTGCTCAGTCATTAACAATAATACTTGAAATACTTGGCATTTGCAAATGAAATAAATGAATTGAGAAGAAAGGAAAGGGAGAGAATGGGTGTCTTTCCTAGATCTACTATAGAGAGTAAACCATTAAGACATGTCACCATGCAGCAAAAGATCCTCTCATCTTGTTTTTACAAGCTGTTTATACAATACAATATACATTCATTATACCAACATGCAAAATTAAGTTAATCACAGATATTGCAAATATCTCAGGAATTAAGACCATCCTTAATCTCTCATGCTAAGTTTAAATACTTCAGGACATCTGAAACATTTCCTCACAGCATTAATACTGAACTGGTCATTGAAGATGGATAAAGCAGTGCTGGCAATGGACAAAGAAAATCCAAATGGTACTTTCTTTCCTAATACAAGCCAATTTGTCCAAATGCTTCCATTTGCCTCCCCATGCCTGATAGCAGGCCTGCCTCTAATTTACAAAGAGGCTCTTGTGATCATAAAAGACTGTTTTGTTTATTTTGCTCCAAAGCCATTTCATTGACAAGCTGCTCAACAGATGACTGAATGGCTGTCTTCACAAGCGAGGCAGCTGTTTCAATCAACAGCATTTCATATTGCTCTGAAGTCCAGTGTTCCTGGCTGTTGGTGCCAAAGGAAGAGGGGACCTGGGAGCATGCTTGGTCTTCCTTTGTGTAGTTGCATCCTTCAGTAGAAGCTTGGTTTTTGCTAGTTTTTTTCTTCCCTTTTTGCTTGATGGCTTGAGGAAATGCAAACGTTTCACAGGTAGGAGCTGATTCTTCTTCATCATCCTGATCATCTTCAGCTTCAGTGATCATGATTATAATGCCAGCCCCAGGTATGGTAAATTGCTTTTCTTCACTTTTCTCTTCCTCATCAAAACAAACTGGTATGTCTGAAGCCTCATCTTCCATTACAGATGGGCTGCAATGCAACATCACTTCAATGGAATGACCTTCCTTAGCAACAACATCCTCATTCTTGGCCACAACATCAATGTCTGCCCCAAATGGCTGTGACTTGGTCTCTTTGGTTCCCTCTCTTTCTATAAGTTGTTGTTCACTTTCAGGCAAATCCTGAGGAATGGGAGGACTGATCTCAACATTAAAACTGAACTTCTGATTTTCCAACTCTTCAAGGTTTCCATAGAGGGTTCCATGATGTAACTGAAATATTTGCTTCTCTTCTTCCGTTACAAGTGCAGTTTCAGAATGGATTATTTCTGATTGAACTCCACAGTCAATATAACAATTGGGATCAGGAAATTTGTTCTCTCTGTTGGAGAGTGACACATTTTCCATATTTGTCATGGCTCCATTGTCACTTTCTCCTTCCTGTAGACTTTTGCTGGGGGATTGTTTTATATCTAGTGGAACTTCCATAGCCACAACCTCTGGCTCTTTGTTACTTTTGTTATTCAGGATGCTTGCTGTATCATTTCCTTTTTTCTTGCAATCAGGCTGTTCTATTATTTCAGAGTGGCTGGTCCTTTTTTTGCTTCGGGAGAGTCTTAGGCAGGGAATTTTAGAACCAGAACTGGCGTGCTCCTTAGAAAATCGTGTCCTGCCAGAATCTCCTATGTCCACATCTAGATGTACACGAGAACAAGCCTCTGTTTGTTTCTTCAAAGTGGATTTGGATCTTCTCCTTAATGTCACTAGTCGTTTGAAAGCCAGCCAGGCCCCTCCTGAAGTCCAAAATTGATTTGATACCTCTGTTTCATTGTGCCCCATGTCAGAAGGCTGGTTAGCAGGCCTTAAGCTAAGTGAATTGGATTCATGGTTCTCATCCTTCTCTTCTACCTTCTCACAAGACTTTTTCCTTTTCTTAAAGCAAAAGACAGAAGCCTTTTTGTCTGGACTCTCGGGGACAATAATTGGGTCAGTTGTATTTGGAGTTTCCAATTGTTGCTCAGTGTCCATCTGAATTCCTTTTGCTAAATGTTCCATATTTTTGGCTTCCATTCTAACTTCCCCAAAATTGGTTCCTTTGCTAATGTTTCATTGGAAAGACACAATTGGGGCTGATCTACAATAAAAGAATATCACTTGTAGACCAATTGAGCAGTTATGGTATCTTTTTGGGAATTATATTTTGGAGATGATATGTCAAACCACTTATTTGGAAGCACATTTCCCAATAGTTATCAGAGAAAGAAAATCACTATTAATCCTGTTCAGATGTATGCCAGTAAGTTATTAATGAAGTCAATTTATTATCATTCAAAATTGATCTCAAGATATTAGTTAAAGAAACAAAACAAGAGTTAGTTTTTTTAACAACTAACTCTTAACAGTGCTTTTCTCTTCTCTTTACTCTTCCTGAAGGAGTTACACATGTATTTAATAGTCTTTTGATGTGATGGTGATACTCCTTCATCAAAAGTTCAACATTTTAAATGTTTTAAATAGGTTTAAAATCAACACACAAAATGCCTCCTGTTCCATTAGTGAGAGACTCAAGAAGCAACAACCATTTGCAAATCTACATATGGCTTCCCAGTCAAAGATTTAGTTTGGAAACACATCCAAAACACAGCAGTGGAAAAGGCTTTTTTGCTGATTAATTAAGGGATGAAATTTCCCCAGGATCTTGCATATTTGTTTTTTTACTGCCTTTCAATCCATTTTCCAGCTAGTGCTTCTTTGGTTGTAAATGTGACCATTTTCTTCCTCGGTGGGATAGCATTGCAGGCATCTGCAGGAGGGGAGGGAAAGGAAAGGAAAAAAATGAATAGTAGCATGCTAAATTCATCCACACAAACAAATCTTCCAAAGAATTAAGCTATTTTGTTAAGGAAGTGTTTACAATCTTGCCTAAATGGCTTCTCATACTGCATGATATCCACAAAGCAGGCACCTCCTTATAGGAATGTAAGTACCGGTAAGTGGAATATAGGTAGATCCTGAATTTGAATGACCCTGTATAGCCAGGTTGATAAACTGAAGCTTCTAGATGTGCAAACAAGAAGAGAAAATGGTTGTAGCACTGTCACAAGCTTATGAACTTCAAGAGAGATAGATGATATGTCTAGAATGTATATGTTGTTGAAATTGCCTCCAGTTTCAGGCAGATGAAGACAATGTGGACAATGGCAAGTGATAATGAGACTAGCAGTCCAACAAAATTGATTTATTGATTAGTTTGTACAGGTAGTCCTTGACTTACGACCACAATAGAGCCCAAAATTTATGTTGCTAAGTGAGAAATTTGAAAAGGATTTTAGCCCCATTTTACGACTTTTCTTGCCACATTTGTTAAATGAATCACTGCAGTTGTTAAATTAGCAATACTGTTGTTAAGTGAATCTGGCTTTCCCATTGACTTTGCTTGTCAGAAGGTCACAAAAGATGAACACATGACTACAAGCGTCATAAAAAGCATCTGAATGTAAATCATGTGACCATGGGGATGCTGCAACAGTTGTAAGTGTGAAAAATTGTCATAAGGTCCCTTTTTTCAGTCCCATTGTAACTTCGAACAGTCACTAAATGAACTGTTGTAAGTCAAGGACTACCTGTATTTATTAAATGTATATGCCATCCATCTCATGAACTAAATCATCTCTATTTACAGTTATATATCAATGAATACCAAGAGTCTAGGTAGCATACGGATTAGCATAAAAATACAATATAAAATACATTGGAAGGCCACATATTGCACATTCCTTATTTACACATTATGCATATAGAACAACCTGTAAGTAAGTGAGGCTTTTTTATTTTATAGTATCCCCTATTACAGTCTGCAATGGCACTCTAGAGCAGACATGTCAAACTCACAACATCACATGATGTCGCGCAATGTATCGGGATGGTTTTGCCATTGCCGGCAATGGGGTGGGTGCGGCTTACGGATGATGCGTCCGGCCTGCGGGCTAGTAGTTTGACACCCCTGCTCTAGAGACTCAGGCAAAGAATCCTTTGGATTGGAAATGCTTGGGATTACATCTGCAGCCTTCTGCGTGCAATGCACATAATTTACTACCTGTCATTCAGTTTTTACTTTTCTTACATTTAACTCCAAACTGATGTTCAGTTTTTATCCTGCAATGCTGGATCATCAAGCTTTTCAGGGGCCTGTTACCCCAATGAAAATAAATGTCTGAGGTGGCATGGCTTTGGTTGATGAATCGATTGTTAGATATATATATTTTTGCCTATTTTTCTTCCAGGAGCACAAGACATCTTAGCATTTCCCTTTGCTTTTTATCCCCATAATTTCCCTGTGAGATGGGTTAGGCTAAGAGAGCATTTGGCTCAAAGTCAGCCAGTACGTTTCTATGCATCAAGATGGGTTTGGAGATGTGTCTCCTGAATTCTAGTCTAACACCTTAATTATTACAGTACATCACCCTGGATCTCGGTGCCTTATTTGGAAACTCCAAAATGAAATTGGGTGAATCTGATTTTAGCCATTCTCTATTTGAGGAATAAAATTTGAGGCAATGAACTAGCCCCAGGACAATGCTTCTCATCCATCTCTGCACTAGTTGTTTTCCCTTATTAAGCTCGACCCCCCCCCCGCAAATGCCAGATGTAGTATACCAGTAGTAGTGAACCTATGGCACGCATGCCAGAGGTGGCACTCAGAGCTCTCTCTGTGGGCATGCACGCCGTTGCCCCACCAGAGTAGCGAGCACATGGCGTTTGGAAGCGACAGGGCAGGAAGTGAGCGAGCAAGCGGCATTGGCCCCCCGGGGATGCCCCAGAGATGGCAAGGGACTGGCCCCCGCTGCTCTGGCCCCGGCCACGCTCACCCAGTCTACCGTGACCACTGCAGCCATGCCCACCCAGTGGGCCACACACACCCGCCCCCCCCCGAGGGCACTACAATGCTGATGCAGCCCTGGCACTTTGTGATAAATAAGTGGGTTTTGGGTTACAGTTTGGGCACTTGGTCTCTAAAAGGTTCGCCATCACTGTAGTATACTATAGCACATTGGAGAACAATTACTGGGTGACTTTAGCTCAATCCATGTTTCTCCACCCAGTCTTTTCCAAAGGGCTGCTATTGTGAGACAAACATTGGAAGAAAGGTGCCATTTGTACAGGCTTGAATTCTTGGAACAAAGGAGTGATATAAATTTAGCAAAAGCAGAAATAAATAAATACAGGTAGTCCTCGACTTACAACAGTTCATTTAATAACAACAGAAACAACAACAACAACAACAACAACAATAATAATAATAGAGTTGGAAGGGATCTTGGAGGTCTTCTAGTCCAACCCCCTGCTCAGGCAGGAAACCCTATATCATTTCAGACAAATCGCTGTCCAGTCCCTTCTTAAAAACTCCCAGTGCTGGAGTATTCACAACTTCTGGGGGCAGGTTGTTCCACTAGTTAATTGTGACCATTCAAAGTTACATCGCTGAAAAAAGTGACCGATGACCGTTTTTCACACTTATAACTGTGCAGCATCCCTGTGGTCATGTGATCAGAATTTGGATGCTTGGCAACTGATTCATATTTATGACGATTGCAGTGTCCCAGGATCATGTGATCATCTTCTGCGACCTTCTGACAAACAAAGTCAATGGGGAAGCCAGATTCACAACCATGCTACTAATTTAACAGCTGCAGTGATTCACTTAGCAATTGTGGCAAGAAAGGTCATAAAATGGGGCAAAATTCACTTAACCACTGTCTTATTTAACAACATAAATTTGGGAATCAATTGTGGTCATAAGTTGAGGACTACTTGTAAATAAATAAAATAAATAAACAATCCTGCTGCTTGCTTGAACTTTTGCTCCATGCACTCCATGCACTCCATGCACTTTTGCTCCATGCATTCATCAAGGGCGCCTTGACCTTGCTGCTTACCCTTGCTTGCAAAAAGAAGAAATGTTCCTACACCTGGCATAGCTCCTGAGTATCTCTGGTTCACCCATTCACAAATTATGGAGGTCTGAATTAGTGCATCAAGAAATTATTCTGTCCTAGATAGCGATTCTCTACTGCTAGCTCCATGCTGTAGCACTACCTCCGGTATAAAGCAGATACAAAATAGCATGGAAGTACCTAATTTCTAAGAATATTCACTACATACCAAATTGTATTTAAACTGCCTTTCTGATTCATCATGGGACTACCCAAGTCATGGCAAGTCAACAGTTTCCTAGGGTGCTTCCCTTAAAATCACTTTACACCAAAACATTTTGACCCAATCTTCAACACAGAGGGTGCTACACTTTAGAAAAATTATACGAGGAATGCTTATTTATAGGCTCAGTTGCCTTTCCATAGCAACTGCAGCATGAATCATTAAGCCCCTGAAATACGCCCATTCAGTTCATCTTTAGGCAAAAGCTTTGCCTGAAATGCTTCATCCAGAGCTATCAAGAGCCTCAAGATTCAGTGGGAGGACACTTACCTGGCATTTAAAAAGGTCTTGGATTCAATCCTCAGCATTTTGAGGTGCATCTGTTAGAAATGTAAAATAATTCTGTCAAGAATTGGAATTTTCTGCTCTCAAGGGATCCATGGAGAGATGAATGCTCATAGGAATGAACTCAGGGTAATATTTATAATTTTTCCAAAATAGAACTGCTAATCTAGTTGAAAAATATGGCGAAGATTATAAAGGCCTCCCTCCCCCTTTATAAACAAAAATGTCTCACAGGTTGACAGTAAGTGGGATTCTCTTCTGACACTTTTTCTATCTTGTGCACTTCATGGAAACTCCAGCATCAACATCACAGGATAGTTTAAAGAAACATACTCCCCCGCAAAAAAAAGTAAATACATTTTTGCCATTAAAGTCAAGAATCCCAGTACCCTCTCTAGTCACTAAGATGAGTGAATGTATTAATCAAATCACATCAATCCAATCTAATCCATCAATCAATATTTAAAACTAAGCCAAACTTCAGTCTGTCCTTGGCAGTTCTAGCAATTTTTTCTCCAGTATTTTTCTGTATAGGGACTGTGTGGTGGCTCAGCGGTTATAAATGCTGG